AGTAGGCTGTCGAGATGACCAGACATCACATAATTCGGTTGTATTAACTCTATTTCATTTTAGTTGTTAAAGGACTGGAAGTTGATTTTTCCCACAATCGTATGAATAAAGCTAACATTTTCAATGAATTTCACAGAGCCTTGCTTTCCCAAAAGCTTTCGCCAAATAGAATGAATACACTTCACATAACTGATTTACTGTTCGTCTCGAAAGCCTACACACGAAATAAAAACCAACAGGGATTATCTGCATCGCCTGTGGAGGCTTTCACTGTGCGCCGGCCGGCTGCCTTAATAAGTTGTCCGGATGGCTAGTTTGTAGAAGAAGAATTCCAAATGAAATAATAGCTCCTCGGCCGGGTTGGAGGGACTGTCGAGGCGACCTGGAGTCCACACTTTGCTCGCTCGACCAGAGGGTGAGATTTGTTACTTTGACTGTTAGCTCCACTCCCGCTTAACCCTCTCTTCGTCTCGCCACCTCGTTTTCGGCGCACTGAGCCCCGGCCATGCCGGAGACAGCCTCTCGCTCGTTTGCCGGGCAAGAGGAAGCCTGCTTCAGTAAGCAGAAATGCGAGTAAATGGGAATACCAGAACAATTTTCGACTCATTAGACCCTGTGACCGGCTTACTTACCCCTTCGTCGGAGTGGGCCAAGCCTCATTTGTTTGTCTGAATGGCACGTCTTTATGAAGTTTTGATGAACCCTAAGCTGGCCACAGTTGCCAGGTTCGACCGAGACACGAGCCTGTCGCGGCCCGTTCACTGACGTGTACACTTGCGCCGATAAGCTGAGTGTTGCTCACGCCTTTGCGGTATCTCGTGGCGTTTATCGGCCTTCATTAAACACGACACACAAAGACGAGCTCATGGAAGTGGGGCTCGAACTGAGATTTAACGAGACCCGGACGCACGCAGCGGGGACCAAGGCCGATGACTGTTGGCACCGCCGTACGATGCTCAAGTGGGGTCCAAAGCATAAATAACATTATTAGCAGATTTTCAGACGAATTGGCTAACCTGGAGACCAGGTATTTTTCAGAGTGTTTTTCTAACCTCGTTTTTGCAACTTGTGGAACCTACCAAGTCCTGCG